CAAACATCTTCAGAGCATCAATATCAATTCCAACATGTTGGCCCCTACCATTATGGGTTTTTAAGGCTAAAGTCACCCGAACAAAATTTGTTGAAACATCCTTGACACTTACTAATGTTCTAAACATTTCCACAAACTCCTTTGATATTTTTTTGTGGTTACAGAGGCATTTTTTCCTTTCTTGTATCCAAACAGCATTACATGCCAAGTGTGTCATGTGCCATCACTATAAGGGATTAGAGTATACTAAACTTTACACATTATATAGGCTACACTAACATGACGTTTAGGCAGTTTGTTTAACTATTATACGTGATGTACATTTTGGGGGGAGGTTAATGAAAGTGTTTCAAAACACGACATTAATTTCTTGATGACCTAATACTTCATTGAAAAAAGTTTAATTATTGGAACTTAGAGCAAAGAATTGGTAAGATCTTCAAATATTTCATCAGTGTTAAAGTTTTCTCATGGTGTGTATTTGATTGGAGTCTTTAAGTTATATAATGTGAAAAAGAAACATGAGATGTAAGTAAAAACTTTTAATCATGAAATAATAGAATTATAGCCCTTGCCTGTGGTTTAATAATAAAGAAAAACATTAAACATATTACCTCTATAAAATTTCTTTTATTTCCTTATACAGTGTTCACCTTATCCAACAAATGTGGAAAACCCTAAAAAAAGACACAGAAAACTGCTTTTAATCATGTCCAATATCACATTTCACATACTGCACATGTCAAGCATTCCCATTCCACCCTCAGTAATTGTATAATTCATCAAGTGTCACTGATGATTTGCAGCATCCTGAATACCTTCAGATGTGGAGGCTGGCCTTGTGAGTCATTTTGAGTCTTAAGAACCACATTACTATTGGATCTATGTGACACAGGTAGTACCAGGCTTGTATAGGTAGATCCCTTTGATGTCATGCTGATTCTAGAGAGAGAGTGAACATGCACGTACTTGGAACATAGTGAGACTGAATCTTTGTACAGATGATGTAATTTCAAAGGTATAGCCATACAGTTGGCTCCAGTGAATAAGTTTCCCCCATGGGACAGCAGTAAGTTTATAGCCTTACAATGCTAAAATTTCGGGGTTTGATTCCACATGGTGGATGCAATAGATAGCCCAATGTGGCTTTGCTCTAAAAACAAACAACTAATGAGTAAGTTGTGGTTTTTAGGTGGTACAAAGGGTGTACACAAGATTATTGTAAATTTGTTTAGTGATTAACTTTAAATGTTATATAATTGTATTACAAAATAAAAAGATCAACCCTATATTCAGACTGTAGAGCACCTTCTAGGTTTTGTTAAATCTCAAAATTTAAGTAAAAATAATAATTATATCTTCAACAATTTTCAACTTAAAAATATTTTAGAATTGATACCTTGTCATTTTGTGACATTTATTTAGTGTAATTTGTGAAGAAAAATAAAAAAATGTTCAAACTTTCATTTTGTGCTGCTTTGAGGAGTTTTGCTTGTAAACAGTTTACTTAGCTGTTTTTTTAACAGTTTTTCAGCCCATGTTAAAGTTAGAAGTTAAAGTTAAAATTGCTAAGAAAATATCATTCCTTAAGTATACCATCATACAATTCTCCATCTTTGGTATTATTACTAGGAACTTTTGTTCACATGATTTCACAGCATGTGATATGAACAACTGTTAAAGAAGCATAGCATTGAAAATAGCTACAGGCAAAGTTTAAATACCATCAACGTAGAGCAGTGGTTTCCAAACTTTTTTCACTAATGACACCCCAAGCCACTTACCTTGATTTTTGTGACACACTTGCTGCTACGTACAATGTTTTTTGTGTAGAGTTTTTATGTTCTTAATTATTATTTGTTTGGTGAAACTCTCGCAAAACTTTAGCAACTTGTTATGATACACAGTTTGGAAACCACTGATGTAGAGTGAATATAGTGGTATGAGAAGTAAGACATGGTTTTGTGGTAGAGTGATTAAATGCAGAAAATAACAACTGAATGTAATGAGAAGTTTAAAGGACATAGATACAAACTAGACTTGTGAATTTTTTTTAAAGTTTCATCAGTCACTTGAAAGCTATGACAATTGTCTTGTATGACAAACTTTAAGTAAGCTTAGTTAGGTTTAGTGAGAATGATGAGTGATAGTAAGATATTCTGATGACTCAGGATCCTTATTAAACACTGTTAATCTTATCATAATCAAACAATGCATATAAATAAAATAACTTATAATTCATTGAAAAGAAACTATTTATTACGTATAAATTCATCTCAATCAAAAATATTTTTTACAAAAATATTCTTAACTAATACTGATGCCATTTTGAAAAAGCAGTTTCTAGGACACCAGGCCAGGCATAGCCCAGTAGTTAGTATGCCAGATTATGGATTTGTGAGTCCATTGTTTGCATCCCATTACCATTAAAAAAAAAAGACGTGCTTTGCACTTTGGGGCCGTGGATGCATTATAAGGGTGATGGTCTTTCCCAACTGTTTGGTCAATCAAGAGTAACCCAAGAATTGATTGTGGGTGATGTTGACTAGCTGTCTTCCCTCTAGTCTATCAGTTCAAAATTAGGGCTGGCTAACACAGCTAACATTTGAGTAGCTTTGCCCAAATATCCAAAAGCAAGCAAGGTCACCAATAAATGTCCATAAGTTATAAGTTATTCAGTATTTTTATGATTTATATTTCAAAGTGGTGACTACTGGAAATGGCAGAACAAAGTATTGAAAGAAATGTGTTATGAATATTAGTCAAGTTGAAAATGATTGGATATATAAACTTTCTGGTCAACATAAATACTAAGAATTAGAAATTTTAAGATGAAATAAAGTATTTTCAATGTTTTTTCTCAAAATAATGTTTCAAAAAAAAAAAGTTTGGAAGCTTCACAACATAAAAAAAAATCCAGAACTAGTTACTATTTAGTAAATCTGTTCATAGTTTCATACAACATTTAACCAATATAAAAAGGCAGTGTGTGTCATGTCACGCTTGATTTCTCAGAATAAGAGGAGTCATAAAAGCCAAAATGAATTTATCCAAATAGAATAGTTCGATAACTGTCTGCCCTTTACGATTTTTGTGACGGGATTGAAAGGGAGCTATGAAACCTTATAAGTGTAGTGAGTGTTGGTATAATAAGCTTAAAGTAAAGACATAGTGTGGGATCATGTAGCCTAGAGCCAAATGTATAAAATTTATCACAAAAATAAAACTATTGATTCAGTTTTAAGCTTAAATCATTTCTGAATTAAGCTATTTTCTATTATATCAACAATGTTTTTAATAAAAAACAAACCTCTTTAATTTTATTAAGGAATCAACAAATATTTTCTAGTTTTGTTGTCTATACATTTCATTTTATAGTTTCAGTATATAGGCTAACAACAATATTAGGTTATACTTTTTGCAGCTAAGCAACAGTACATAAAAGCCATTATTGGAACATAGTGTTACCAAAATACACTTGTTTTTTATGATTTTTTACCAATAATTATTTTATGAATTCACCATGAATTCATTTCCTGAATAATCTTAATTTTGACTGGCCCAGAAAGGAATTTACTAGTGTTTGACTGCCTCAACCATACTTTTCAGCTTCTTTGTTGGCCAAGCTTGATTTTGCAAAATTTATTTCAGTTAGCTATGAAATGAGGTTAGGATATACTATGGGGTTGGGTGGTAGTACTTGTTCCATTATTTTTGATGGGCTATATGCTTGTAGTTAAGAACTTCCACTGTGGGAAGGGAAAAATAAAGGATTAAAAAATTACATTTACTTTGGAAATGTTTTCACCTGTAATAAAATTACAATATAATATAGTTATAGAAATGTTTTGTCTATTGTCAATCCCTATTTTTCCGTTGTGTATCCAGTCTAATGTAGGTCCTCCTTTTTAAAAATTTGCTCAGTTTATAATAAATTTTCTTACTTTGCATCTATTTTTCAATACCAGTGCCATCAGACTTCAATATATTCTTTATTATTATGAAAATAGAAAAATTCAACAACATATTTTTACCATAAAAACAACTATTTATGCTAAAGTGTCAAAAATCTATCATTTTTCTCATATTTTGAAGTTTAACCATATTCAAATTGAAGTTATGTCACTGGTCCTTATGTCACTGGTTATGGTGTCACTTGTACATAAATTTCTTATCTTAAAGACCTGTATCTTTTTTCTGTAAGTGGTTAATTGGATTCAATATTTTTAAAGAGATGTAGTTTTGCAAAAATTAGATCTAAAGTAACTTATGCTAACATAGGCTTATTGAGACTTATTAATGATTTTCTGATTGACATTTAACCAAATATTGGCAAAGGACCTAGAACAGGAGATATTGTGTGCAAATTCATTGAAAAATTTATAATTAATTATGCCTCAATTATTATTGACTTGCAAACAAAAATGAATTACTATATGCTAGAAAAAGAGGTAAAAAATCACAATATTTCAGGATCACTATTAACAGAATGCTGTGTAATATATATTAAGTTTATTTGTAGTGTTAAAATATTAATGCTATATTTTATTATTTCCAGATGTGGAAGAAACAGCCTTCCCAGCACTCTATATAAACTAAAATCAAGATCAAAGGAAAAGAGAATTGAAGATTGCATTGTATATTCTGGTCCACTGGTAAATTCTTTACTTAGAAATATTTGTTCAGCTTTATGAATTTATAGTTTGATGATTACTGTCAATTATGTTTATATTGTTCAAAGATGTTACTCATCTGTCTGCACTGCAATGAGCCATAACCTTGTTTTATGATATATCATGGCACTTCCTTTCTTAATGCTAATGGTTTGTTATTTTCTATGTAATTTTATTCATTTGTTGAATTTAAGTATGTTTTTGTTTGTCTTGTGTCTGATGAAGAAAGCTGATGTCTTTTAAAACCTTGAGATGTTTATAAAATTACTGAATGTTTTTTCATAAACCAGAGTAACTAATAAATAACTTTGTTGATTATTTAATGTTTTTAATGCATTAATTTGTTAAGTTACATCCAAGTAGAAAAAAAAAGTATTAATGCCATTTTTATAGAGCCTAAGTCATATATTTTTATTCTTTCCTGATATACCATAACTTTGTAATTTTCTTTATAGAATTTGACACTATAACAAATCAGTTATTTTGGTTTTTTGTTGGAGTAAATACATATAAAGTATTTGTTCATCTATAACTGATGATCAGAGAGGTACTCAAAAACAGCTTTCAATTTGGCCATAGTTTTATTAATGAACTGAAACTGAAAATTAATTGAAAATCCTTTTTGCTGGTATTGAAGATTAGTTTTTAATTTCATTATTTCATTTAGTAAGCACAGAAAATAAGATAATGCATGCATGGTTATTGAAAAGAAATGTACAATTTTCTTGATCTTGTAAAGGAAACATAAGCATAACAGGTTTAGTGAAGAAGTCTAGTGGGAACTGTGCTTCTATAACACAAGTTTTATTTTAGCAGCCAGTTAAACTTCTCCAGTAGGCAAGTAAAATACAAAAAAAATTAAGGAAAAAAAAGTACGTAGAAGGTTGTAATCTGTATGCTTATATAATGAAATTTGCTGTTTAATATCTAATTGTAATTTTGATTGATTTATTTCATAAGAAACATATGTTTGTGTAGTTGACAAAGGCATATTTTAGCATGGCATAAAAAGCTAATAAAATTACATATATGTACAGTTAAGAAAAAATGTACAATTTCATATATTTCTACAGTTTAAGACATTGACAGAGCCAAAACTACAGCAGGCTTTCTTTTTGGCACTTACTGGTGACAACTGGCTAGAATGTTACAGCAACCAGACTGGAGAGCTGCTTCAACAGGTTTACTTGGGTCCAACTGCTAGATACAAGTTTCGGCATGTAGACTGGGAGACTCATGGTGAACAGGTGGTAATACAGTCTGTTCAGAACCAGTCTGTTACCCCTACAACTCAGGTAAAGTATATTTGAAATGCTGATATGAAAACTACTTATTAATTATACTCACAAGATTACTACAGAACCTATAATGCTAAAAATTGGGTTTTAATACCTGTCAGGTACAGAGAAGGGATAGCTCACTCTGTTGTTTTGTGCTTAACAACAAATAAATATAATGCCAATATTTTGATTATGTGGATATTTGTAATAATTAGAAACCCTAATTTCTGTTAGTTGATTATTTTTGTGAGTCACGACATTAATTGATTAAGTTGAATAAATTTGAATTAACTGAAAAAGTAATGAAACATCATAATGGCAATATTTCAATTATTGGATAATTGGAATCAGTGATTTTAATTGTTTGATTATTTTTTTGAAATTAATCAATTTAATAATAATTTTTATTACTGAACAGTTAGAATAATTGAAAACGGTAATAACTATGAAATACTGTGGGAGAATGCAGTAGTAGTATTTGCATACTACAAGTATGTTGTAGGAGCTGATATCAAATAAGGCTTTACTTCTGGTTTACATTCAACAACCTGGATAAAGTAAAGCTAAAATGAAAAGATGTGTTTATCCAAAAGCTTATTTTTTGGATTAATAATAAATTCAGTTATTATAAGATTGCTAATTTATTTTTATTTTTTCTCCCAGCCAGGCATAAGACCACGTGTATTAGAAGCTATAGCAATGTTTTCTGTATTTCCAATGGAATTTAAAGCTCTTGTGGAAATTGACCGAGAGGTAAAAATGATAATTTACTAATGTTTACTGTAAATGGAAATTCACATGTAAATAACTTACTTTTTTATTTAAAAACTAGTTTTTCAGAAAAAACATTTATTCAGCTACTAGAAGTAAATTTGGGAGGTACTTATCTAAAAATAAGAATTCCTTGAACAAATAACCTCATCAGACTTTAACTATTCAGCTATAATAGTAAAAAGTTTTAACTTCATATGTTTTTTAGTGTAAATGTTTTCAAAAACTTAATTTTCTAACTTTTGCAAGCTTTCTTCTTCTTCTTAGTTCCTGTTGTTCCTAGTGGAACATAGGGCTACAACAACACTTCGCTGATGGAAGTGTTGTTGAGTTTCTGTAGCAGATTGTTATCGGGGTGGAGTTGCTAGCCCCATGCCCAAGTGGGCATGTTTGGTGCGACAAGGACGCGAACCCGCGACCCTCGGATTGCGAGTTATCCAAGTTTTAACCTTCAGTATTGTTGTATTTATTAAGGAACTGTTCTGTTCTTTTTTTATGTATGTATAGAATTGTAGCTGTGGTAATGTTTAGGGTTTGAATAGATTTAACATTATTAAAATGTTTATATGCTGAATGTATAATAACTTATGTGATGAAGAGAACAAAAGTGAAACACTCGTGAATATGTTTTTAAGAAAGAGAACTTTAAAATGTTCTAGCTTATGCACCAAGTTGTTAATTAACTTTCCATCAAAGTGCATTCTTAATTTTTTTATGTGGTCAAATTATCTGTTGTGTAGTATTTTCTGTGATCTATTATTAAATATATTTCTAAAAAAAGATGCTGAAAAATGGACTTGTTTGTGTCTCAGGTGTTTGGAAAAGACTGCAACCATGTGAATATTTCTGAAGGTTTATTAATAATTGGTGTTGGGAATTCGGCTACTGGTAGGGTGAGACTATACAATTTTGTTCAGGTTGTTAAGGAGGTAAGTGGAATGCTTATTCCAAGTATGTCATCCATGTTAGTTTCATACAATTTGTGTCTTTTAAATCATAAAACAGTATATTTCTTAATAAAGTTTAGATCTAAAGCTTTTAGATAAAGTGCTGTGATTGTTAAAATCTGTCATTATGATTTTATCATTGTATTTTTATTTTTGAAGCAATTCTTATTACTTTTCTATGTTCCTATATTTCAATATGTAATATTAATATTAATTTAATATGTAATTATTCAGTTCTTATATGTAAATTTGGATATTTAGGCTATACAACTTTGTTTAGGCTGTAAAAGAAGTGAGTTTTGAGTGAAGTAAATTATCATGGTAAGATTAAAATTGTTGAGGGGATTGAATGAGTTGATGCATCATCTTTTCTTTTGTACTTATAGTTGAGAATGGTATGACATATATACATTTTAGAAGAGTAGGAGTCATCTTCAGCCTTATTTTTGTAATAGAGTTGTTGGCTTTGGAAAGGGTTACCTTTAGAAATATTTTAAGGGCTGTCTTTGAGTGTTTTATTTTTGTTTTTGAAGTTTAATTTAGTAAATGTTGCCCTTGTCCTTAGATTATATGTATACATGTATGTATAATTGGTGAGTTTGATTATGCAGATTTTTCAAGTTGTAAAGGATTGACAAGGTAAATAAATGTGACACATTAGGTTTAGCAATTTTTATTAATTTATAAAGGAGGGGAATTTTAGGTGGGAATATTATAATAAGTAAATATTTGAAAGTTAGATTATAGCAAATTTCTTCAAGGTGTAAAATGACGAATTTTGGGTGAAACTATCGTGTTAAGTAAGTTTGGTGTATTAGGTTATAGAATTTTTTTCAAATGTAAAGAAGGTAAGTTTTACCCGAATAAGTGAACTTGGCATGTTAGGTTATTTATAACTGTCGTCAAGCTGTAATGATTGCAAGTTTTGTATGAAATTATCTTGGTAACTGAACTTGGAGTGTTTGTGTGTGTATGTCTGTGGTTATACAGTCTCATAAAAGTTTTAAATAAGTCCTTGTTTTAGAGTGGCATTAATAAAAAGTTTGCCACATTGGAACAGTAATTTCTGAGGGTATCATTCAGCTAATTTTTTGTTTTACTTTTCATATTACTATTTTCCACTTTTACTTTGATTAACTTACTGGTTTACAATGCAGACAAATATTTTGAATCAAATGTTTATACATAGATTTAGGGTTATTAAAACATCTGGAGTGCTAATATCCACCTTAGCCTTGGGACACAATGTGAGTGTCAGTTCCAGATGTGTGAAATTATGCTTAAATATATTTTGGTTGTTAACAGTGATACTCGAATATCAGTTTCACTTTCCAGTTTTTTTATATGAATAATGTTTGTGAATAATAATTATGAGACTCGTATGGAAGATACAATTATTAAGTGACTCTGTGAACTTTGTTTTTCATATTTCTTATTTTAGAAATTTTCTGCCTCAATACTGGTATTGAGAAAGGTTGTGAAATAAAAAAAGAGAAACGTGGAAAAGGTTTCCTTATTTGTGTGATAATGTTTGTGTGTGTCAATCATTTGTTTGTACATTTGCCTAGATTTTCATGGTTTATGACTAAAGTTCTTTGATTAAAAGGGGTGAAGATTTTATTTTTGAAGTTGAATCTGGGTTATTTTCTATGCTTTTTTTTATGTTTTTATTTTTAATATTGCCACATATATTCTTCAGGCCAGTGTAGTCATTAGAGTTTGATGTTTTAGATTAGTGAAATTCAGGTTGTTTTTTTACCAAGTGGTTTTGTCATGCAACACTTTTTTTTTAACAGATACTACAAATATATGTTGCTTGTTGATGGTGTTATATCTATTAGCAATTGTTTAGTAATATACTTTCTCTTTTTATCCTGTGCTGTGAAACTTGAGCAGTTGAATGGTATCATGTATATAAGCAGGCCTTAAGATGATAATTTTCTTGTCTCTATGACTTGTTTAATGATTGGTATTTAGAGGAAAATAACATCAGTATGTTTTCATTCTTGTTCTCAGGGCTTAATGTTTGAAGCTAAGCTGCAGCAACCTTGTGAAGCATTAGAAAAGGCATTGGTTGGATCCTACCCAGCAGGTATTCCTCTCAACTGTAAACTGAAAGGTAGATTTTATACGCATTGAACTTTGTATCTGGTGTAATTCAATGTTAGATACCTTTAATTTATCTCAAGTAAAAAGTTTTGCCTGTCTATAAATTATAACATTTGTTATATGGTTAAACTGTTTTTTAAAACAATTTTTTATTTTATTAAGTCAACATATATGTTACTGTATTTGTTTTTAAGTGAAATATTTGTTGCTTGGTTCTACTGTGTATACTTTTATTTGTTCTTTAAAACGAAATATTTGTTCTGTAGGTCTTTTATATATTTGTTGCATTGTACTTTTTTAAAATAGTATGTTTGGTTCATTGTTCCTCAGTGACTCAGCAGTAAGTTTACAGTCCTATAGTGCTAAAATCCATGGTTCAGTTGCCCATGGATAACAAAGTGCAGATAGTCCATTGTGTGGCTTTGTATTAAAAATGGCATGATTGGTTTTATGGTGTTAATACTTGACTATTGAAAATTTAGAATGTTTGTTGTGAGGTTTTTCTGTTTTTATAAAGCATAATTTTTGTTAATATGCTGTGTATATTTGTATATTTTAATTATAGAATGAAATATTTGTTTTCTGGTGTATTGATTTTACATTTGTCTGTTTTTTTAAGTAGGACTTTTATTATGTAGTTGTGCAGTATTCTATCTAATAGAATGGAAAATTTTTATATGTATTCTTTTATTTGTATTAAAGTATATAAGAAAAAGTTGAGTGTCATATTTGTTTGATAAAATGGAACATTTATTGTATGGGTGTATTGTACAAATGTCACACTTTTATCTTTCCAGTTTGACCAGAAACTCTTCAGATCAACCAGATTGTTTTATGTATTACAATGTTTATTAAGTATTTGGCTTGAATCTAACATGTTATGTGGAATGTAACAAAAGTATTTATCACAATGTTTAAAAGAAAAATTATTGTAAGTCATAAAACAACATTAATCAATCATGATTCTCAGTATGTTTAGGTTCAAGGGTCAACTGATACTGATTCTGTTGATACTAGTATGGATGCTGGTAAAGAAAAATGTAATAACTCACAGTTTATCCTAATATCAGTAAAATATAAGAATTTTCTCACAAAAATTCTATTAATGATTCTGTGTACATTATGAAATTAAAAGGATATTCAAAAATTGACAAGTAGGAAAACTTCAATAATATATGCTTCTCATTGTAAATATTTTTGATAAACTCATAATCAAACAGTGCTCCATAGAAGTTTTGACGTAATGAGTAATTTACTTCTTGAAATAAAAACTGCAATGCTGAACACTTGCATATTTTTGAGGTTCAATGACTTTTTTCTCATCTAACATCTTATATTTTGGAAATGTTTAATTGTATTTACTAGGTGTGTTTTTTTCTTTCAAACTGGTGTATATGCTTGAATATTTGAATGATATACCTTCCACCATACTTGGTACACACAATTATTATTTCTAATTCATTTTTTTATGTAAATAAAATTAGTCTTTATGCAGATATGCATCTTATCTGGAGCACTGCTCAAAATAATTGTGTGAAACAAAGGTATACTCAGTACAGTATTCTATGAAATTTTGTATTGGTGTTCTTTAATTATGATGTATTAAATTACAGAGTCTGAGAAAGATAATATAGTATTCAGTAACAAACTAATAATGCTTTTAGTTATTGATAATTAAGAAATGTAGAGTACTACCTTGTTACATAAAAAACTGGAGTTCATGCTTGTAATTTTATATTTAAAATAGAAATAGCCTCAAACTTGTATATTGTATGGTTGTGTAGTCTATGTCCTAACAGTCTTGACAGATGATGTTTTGCACTCTTATGTTTGCTTTTATCAGGTCAAGGAAGTTTTTAACTTGATAGTATTTATGGTTGTGGAGAGAGATGGGCTAACCTAGTAACCTGATTTGATTGAATGATAATTAATAAGCATACCTTTTTGATAAACTTATTTAAGTTTGTTGTCCTCTTCTCTTTGTACGCCTACCTTGTGATCAACAGACCTCAACCATAAGCCGTGTTTAGCATTCAATGTCATGAAGCCCTCAGTTAACTTACTTCTATCCACAGCCATAAAGGCTGTTAAAAAAGATATACATGTACTTTTCTGTACATTAAATATTTTTCTTTTAAGTGCAAGCTTTTGGCCTACTTAACAGAGCCTGTCTTTTTCAAGTAACAATGTACTGAATAATACACATTTGTTTATCTGTGGAATACTCTCTAAAGGCAGGAGTTTAAGCAACAGTCCTAACAAAGTGACACCTGGAATTAAAGTTATTAATCATATTAATGTAGAGAACAGTCCAATTATATTTTTAACATATTAATCTACTTAATACGTTTTTATAAACAGTGTTTCTGTCCTTGGAAAGCAGCTGTAGCTGTTACCTGTGTTAAAGAACAATTTGCTTTCTGTTGTTTCATTATGATAATATTTTCTGGCCTAGGAAAACAGACACAACCATAAATACAATTAAGAACATTTTACCTTCTATGATTTCATTAGCATAACAATGTGTTCTGGTTTGGGAGTCCTGATGTGAGTACAAACAAGACAATCATTTACCCTAGTTTTTGGAAATGAAGTGTAAAAAAAAAAAGAAGATTGGCCATATATGTGTGTTAATTTTACTGATAACAATATGTATAGAAAATCTGGATATCAGTCAACATCACTATTGGAATTTTATATCAGTTGAGCTCTGGTTCTTATTAGGAACTTGTAATTTCATAGCACTTGGACTTCTTTTAGAATGCTCTCTTTTGAGTACAAATGTATAATAGAAACTTGATATATTTTAATAAGGGTAGAATCTGTTTCTTTTTGTAGCACCACCACAACTTCTCTTTGAGGTTAGTTGTGCTGATTACACCATTCATGTTGGAGGACATCCTTTCCATTTCATTACAACTCCTCCTCGTCATGATGGAGTGTTCCAGGTAATAGTGATTACATGCTGATCAGATAATTATATTTGTATATTAAATCATATTGTCAGTAGCAGCTAAAAACTTCATATTTTGTTTTTTATTAATCTGACTTTTGTGTGTGTATGGAAAATTTTGCAAACTTGGTAATGATAAATGTATAAAAAAATTATAATTTTATTATGTAAAATAAAATATTCAAACCAGATGATGGTTATTGTGCAAGGAAACCAAGATATATGTTCTCCAAACTGGTAATGATAATTATATGTATAATTATTTGTATTGAATATTTGATGATATTAATCGATAAATCTATTTTTGAACACAATTTGAATAAATGTAAACAGTGATTGTTCAACCAGCTGCTGTCATAATTATTTCCTTCTTTTTCTCACATAGCTGCTTCTTATCTGCAATAAAATTTGACTCGTATCAGTTTCATTTTGTTTACCTAACCAACTGATATTTATCTTTTATAAAACATGACTGGTGTATTAGTTTCATTTTGTTTGACTAACCAGTTGATATTAATCTACTGTAAAACTTGACTGGTATCAGTTTCATTCTGTTTGCTCAACCAACTGATCTTCATATACTATAAAATGTGACTGGTATCAGTCTCATTCTGTTTGCTCCACCAACTGATATTTATATATACCATAAAACTTGACTGGTATCAGTCTCATTCTGTTTGCTCCACCAACTGATATGATTCTACTATAAAACTTGACTGGTATCAGTTTCATTCTGTTTGCTCCACCAACTGATATTTATATATACTATAAAACTTGACTGGTATCAGTTTCATTCTGTTTGCTCAACCAACTGATTTTTAACTACTATGAAACTTGACTGGTATCAGTTTTATTCTGTTTACTTAACCAACTGTTCTTTATCTGCCCTACAAGTTGGCTTGTGTTTGTGTTTGCTTTTTCAATCTGAGTGTATATTATCAAGAGTATTATGTATATGTATATTAATGTATGATATTATTCATTATCACTTAACTCCCTCCATACAGTCTTGGTCAATTTGACCGACCACGTGACCTTTTTGTAGTCGTATAGTCTTTATAGATTTGATACTACTAACTTTTAATATAAATTTTAATATTGAAAGTCAAGTAAGGATGATCTATGTATAGCTGTATCATCCCTATATTCTTATTTGCATTCTTTTTTGGCACTGCCATCCCTATATCATTTTTACATTTACAAAATGTTTTTATTATTTGTTTTGTGACATTTTTCCCCCTGACTGAAAACTAGTGTATTCTATGAATGTGTGTATCAAAATTTAATATTATGTATATTGATTTTTTTTTACTCCTTCACTTTATACATAATATTGGGGGTTCGCTCCCTAAAGACACTGATTGTATAGTATACAAAGCATTGAGTATTCTACATGTTACAGTCATCTAATGCTCATATATTATTGGCAGGTAGCTCCTGTTTCACCTATACTTAAGCTTTTTAAAGGAATACCAGATTTCTGTAAGAAAGCTAACTTCTAGTGGTAATGACAAAACATTGTTTACTCTAGAATTAAGATTGTTTTTTTTCTTACTATTAGTTATTAAGACTAAGCACTACCCAGAAATACATAGAGTGGATTTAGATCTCAACTGATGCTAGTGATAAAGTAGTTGTAGAGTTATCTTGACTGGAACAAGAAGACGAAAGATGGACAATTTGTTGGGTTGGTCACTTTCTGGTCTGGTATTTTAGTGATGGTTTCTTGCCTTGTTTTTGGGCTTATTGGGTAGAGAAACAAATGAAAGTGAGTGGCAATCATTTTTTAAAGTAAAACTCTGCACAATTGTATTATGCCTGTTGAATATCCCTACATATATAATTTACCGACTCTGTGATAACTAAAGAATATACGTGAAAAACAACAGGTATATCACTTAACTGTGACCTTGTTTTTTGCTGTTGGCTGCCAATGAAATTTAAGCCTGTTTTTTTATACTAGTATAAAGTAACTAGTACACTAAATAATTTTTATTTACTTAAGTAATGCACCTAAGAACACAAAATAATAACATGCACAAAGCAAGCAATGTTCTATAACTATCATAGTTTATATGGCTTTCTAACTATGACATGAGAGCCTTTAAATCTTACTTTAAGCTTGTTGATAGGATCATCATTAGAGAAACTTTCAAACCGAAGACAAAATAGACAGTACTCTGTACTAAAAAACAACATAATATAATAAGTCACTTGATAGATTAAAACATTGGCATTCCATTGATTATAAATAATATAGAATCAAATGTTAAGAGATAACTGTTGGCAATTAGTGAAAGAGAGGATGTGACAGACAAGAGGGTCTGACTTTCTAGCTTATGATTCTGTAAACAAATAAATTTTAATGCTATAAAATTTATGCTTTGCCTTAGTAATATATATTATAATGAGTAAAATTTTTGAATTCCATACTGTTCAGAGGGGTGTTAAATAAATTAGAGAAGAGGAGAAACCAAGAGGACAAATGTCACAATTCTCATGCTAGTGTAGATTGAGGATTTTATTAAATATTTCCTTATAAATTAAAAACTTAAAACTTACATAATATTAAAATTTGAATTATTAACTATATTTTGATGCCAAGTTTATTCATATACAACAATAATAAAGTATTTGACCTACCTGTAGTGAGAGGGTTAAATCTGTAACCTGTAATAAACTTGATGAGTATAAGGTGTGACTGAATCAACAGTAATTATTTTTGGGTGTTTTGGCAACTACAAAACATTGTTATCTGCTATATGACTATGTGTATATGATCTTTATTGCTAAGTTCCAAAGTTACAATTTTTTTATTTTTGAGTGTTTGTAGGTTTGATGACAGATTTATTTTTGAGTATTTCACCATAACTGAGGCAAAATAGCTATATTATTTTCTAGGATATTCAAACACTTTCTTTGAGAAGTAGTAACATTCCATTGTTTTGTATGAATTACAGGTGTGTTCTCTTGCATCTAGTGTTCTTGTTGAGAATGGATATTTAAATTTTCCAACCAATAGCACAGAACCTGACTCTGTTACTTTCCACCCGGATGATTCTGGAAGAATTGTGTACAATTCAGCTCACAATATTAAGTAAGTTGTCTGATTTGTTAAAATATTTTTTGTTGTACTACAATGGACTCTTAATATTCCACTGATAAAGCAGAAAGGATAAAATAATCATTGTATATATTCAATCTGCACAAGATAATAGAATAATTACTTCTGAGGTAATACACACCTCTTCATACAGAAAGCTATCTTTCCCTTGGATCTGTCTTAGAGATTTGCATGCCACCAGCCTTTAGGCAACTCCCACCTAATCTCACGAGATTTCTCATGATTTGCACTACTGCATAATGACAGTATTATGAAGCAAAAGCCCTCAACCAATAAGAAGGTGACACAGCCTTCACACACTAGCTTCCTATATGCATTTGCACTCATGATTTTCATTCCATTCTTTAGCACTGAACGCATCACACGTGTTTTTTTCTTTGTCAATTTAATGAGATTTGTGATCTTGAGGGAACTAAATTTCCTTCTTTTTTATTCAATCTATGAACACTTGCTCATAAAATGTCTTTTTTAATCTATGTGAGTGACTAATTTCCTCACACAGGTTATGAAATTTTGATGGCTTATGGAAGCATGCTCCCTGAGGAAGACATGGCGGCCATTGTGGATTGGATAGAGGGTTCCCTACCAGGTAATTCAGCTTCAGTCTCTTCATCAGGCATTCCTTCCCTGCATTTGTGGGGTGAATGTGGGGGGCAAAATTTGATTGTTCCTTCTCCTCACATTTTTCAGCCTTGTTCCTCAGGTATGCACCATTCTTTTTATTTCCACTGTGTTATATTCTTTTCCTATTCCCTTCTTCTTAATCTTAATCCTAACTCATTTCGTTTACCATTTCTGGATTACTTCTATTTCCACGACATTACACCTCCCCATTTTTCTGTCTATCTGATTCTTATTTCCCCACCTTTTGTCTTTCTGCATCCCATTTCGAGTTTCATGTGTTTGGGATTGCCTTTGCTGTTTGGGGGCAGGTGGACTTTTGGAATTGGTTTCACCATCCGGTACTGTAATACTTATGTCCCTTCTGATCCTTTTTAACCACACTTCATTCCCTCTCTCCTCTACACCTCAAGTCTGAGGCATTCCACCATGCTCCAGTGCATTTTGAGGGTTTTTCTCTATCCCTTCTCCACTGTGTCTATTCCTCTTCTACTTTTCCTGTTCACTTGCCTCCTTGTTCCAGGAGAATGTTGGATGGGGATACTCTCCTGTCCCAAGTTGACTTCTTTCTTCCATTCTTCGAGCCCTTTGCCTCACCTCTTTTTCTGCCCTGCAGTTTGATGGTATTCCTAATTTGTTTGAATTAAAGTATATGGCTGCCCTTCATTTATCCTCCCTTTTGTCAATAGTTTTCACACTGTCCCCAAACCTACCCTCCACCCTCTACCCTTCATTCCCTGTCATTTTATTCCCATCTTCCTCTTCTACCTGGTATCATTCTCGTTAAGCTCATTGGTGCCGTTTCTATTATTTTGGTCTTGCGGGTGCCTGACTATCACACTTTACATCCACCTTCAGGGTTTTTCTATGTCCCCCCCTCCTTCAGCCTTCTTGTTTCCTTTTCTCCTTTCACTCCCCTCTATATCCCACATCTCTTCGAGGCTATGTTCGTCACCGCTTCCAGCAAATCCTCACCCCAATCTATACCTTATTCACCATGGTGGTGTTTTCAGCTCATTCATGGCTGGGATTAGCCTTTTCCCATCTTCCTATGATCAATGGACCATTCTGTCATTGGGATTTATGCCTGTCCTATTTGTTTTGCATGTATAATTTCTTGTTTGGTGACCATGGCTTCATGGTGATTGCTTATTCCTTTAGGTCACACTCATATGGACTTCCTCAGTTGCCCTTACACGATCAGAGGAAAGCCATATGGGATTCTTTGACTTCAGTGATTCTCCTGTCCCTTCCTCTGTTTTTATCTTTGTATGAATGGTTGGACTTTATCAGCATCTGTATTCTGCTACCTTTGCATAAACTGGACTTACACCTTTTCACATATGCCCCCCCCCCCCTTTCTGGTTGGGGAGCATCCCTGACGTTCTTGTGCCTTTTCTCATTTGGTTGATTTCCCCACCTGCCATGTACCTGATACTCTGCTCTAGGTTGCAGAGTGCTTCGTTTGGCTGTTTTCATTGTGGGTGCTCCTTTGAGGACTCCACTCAATTTGCCTAGCCCACCCTCTCACTTACATGCTTCCTCTCTTTCCAGTATCTGTTCTCTTTCTCTCAGCCCTACATTCCTTGGGAATCTTCTTACTTCTGCCTTTATTGGTACAGTCTGCTACATTCTTAGTTCAGCCTCCTCCTCCTTCATGGTTATTGCTCACTGATGGTTGTATTTCGGCCCATCAGATTCCTCTCCTCTCTCATTCTTTTGCCGCTTGTTTCTATCTGCTGCTGGACAAGATCATTCTAGCTGGCATGTGGACTTCCTTGCATAACTTTTTCACCCACTCTCTTTGCCATCTGGTTATGTAGTCTCTAAGGGGTCCCTACCTGCCTCTGTTCCCCATCCTACACTCTCCCCACTGTCTTTGGACAGGTGTGTACATTCCACTTTGTTTCTAACATTTGCTTTCAGGGTCCTGCCAGGTGGCTGGTGGTGACTCCCAGAGTACATTTATTTCCCAAAATTATGTATCGAGCCAGGATATCAGAAAGTGCTTCTATCATCCACACTGGCTGGGCTCTATTTGTACCTACAGTTCAAATGGGGTGTTCCACAAGACTACTTGAGGTATTCTCATGGTTTATTCTGATATTTTACTAATGTCTGATCCAGACCATACCTATTCCATCGACTATCATGGAAAAAGACAGCACCAGGGTGTGCTCTGCCTGCTCCCTTGGCTCCCACTTGCTAGCTTTTCAAAATAGGTTTACATGGTTACCCATTGCACTGTCTCTAGTTAAAAAACTTATCCAACATGCAATTTATGGGTCTGGACATTTCTCCAGGTCTCCCTAGTGTGAATTCCTTCCCCCTTTCTTCAAGTGGAGCATGGGAGACTTTGATCACTTACCAATTCCTAGCTGCTGGGGTGGTGAACCATGAAGGACCCTCACTGATTAGAACAAAATAGTTGGGGTTAAACAAAAGGTGCCAGTTGAGTGAAAAGTGGGGCAGTGGTTGCACTGTCAGTGTAGTGTAGGTCACCACTCGTATACTTCCACTTATAACATGAGAGCATCCCTCATCCTACTACCCTGATGTTGGTTCTTGGATGGTCTGGTGTTGGATCATTGTAGGACCAGCCAACATATGTTCCCCATCCTATTGCTGCTGATATGTTGATTCTTAGGTGGTCTGGTGTTGGAATTGGTGTAGGACTATCAAACATAAGTCCCCCATCCTACTGTCACCCAGATGTTGGTTCCTGGGTGGTCTGGTGTTGAATTGGCATAGAACTAGCCCACACAAGTCTTCAAACATGTAGTTGTTAGGGGTCCTCCTACTGTGGACACGTGGGGAAGATAGCTTTCTGTGTGAGAGGGGTTTGTTTCTATCGGAAGTACATTTTCAGATACGAAAAATGTTAAGATTTCATGTGATACAACTGAAGAACAACTACAATGAGACTGTTATATATGTAATGCACTTTATGTCTACTTTAATGCTATGTTTCCTGTATTTTTTCATCCAGCTTTAAGGCTCTTTTTTGCATTGTCTATTATTGAGTCACATATAAGAGTATGGATTTTGTATATTTTTTATTATATTTCTAAATAACGTTTTTAGTCATGGTAAAGTGACTGTTTTCCGTATATTATTATCCTTCAGATATATTATTTTCTATTAACTTTAAGATCTTTTGTGGACTTTTTTTGTTTCAGTCATCTTAAATTATTTTATATTTTTCTTTCATTCAGTCTTTATACGTCTTCACTCTTATATAGTTTCTGCTGATGTCAGCTTCAAGTTTATAATTTTACTTATGATAATTGTAATATGATTTTTTTTGTGACAGCTTCAAGAATATACCATCCGTAATTTATTGTTCTTTTTACCAAAAATAAACCTTTATTTCCATGTGTTTCTTGTTATATTTGTTTTGACCTTTAAAAACATTAGTAAAGTTGAAGTAGTTATTTATCTACATTTTCAACTGTATGTGACCAGTGGAAACTGTTTTGCCATTTGCCATTGAATTAATGTGTCATACATAATTGCTTTTTTAATGGTCCAGATAATTTTGTTACAGAGCTTCTGATATAATGATCCTGGTTTTGCCCTGTCCTTTGTTTTCTGGTTGGTTTTCAACAATTTAAATTGCATTGTATAGAATAGTTTTAAGATATATTGCCAGAAGTATTGAAATTGTAGTCCTCATACAATGAGCAGATTATGTAAAGCCTACAGAGAGAAGTGATGAGTTGGACATGACAACAGTACAATTGAAACTAAGCTACTGGGCTATTGTCAGGATTCACGGTCATCAGACATATGTGGTAACATGTGCTGCAATGAAATGGTTGAGACTCCAAAACCATTTTGATATAATATACTCAACCCTCTATTACAGGAATTCATTTCTTGTTGCTTTAACAACAGGAATTAGTTAACTGTACTTCTAGAGAAATGTTTTCCAGGAATTCATCCCTTGTTTCTGTAACAACAGGAACTAGTTAACGGCACTTTTTGAGAAGTGTATTTCAGGGTAGTTCAGTGCTTCAGGGTCTCCTTCCCTTGTGATGATATATGATTCTTTAAACAAGACCAGAATTATTTATAATAATGGTGCTATAAAGTATGCTGTTTAAATATAAATGCCACATCCAGATTTTAAATATAATTAACATTATTGTACTTATGATCTTATAACATTCAAGTATAAAACTGTGGTGAAAAACATTATCAACAGGAATCCTTTTAAATCCAGTAAATTTTTTTAGAATGTGAGTAATAATATTAATTTAAATTTGTTTTTCATTTTATATTCAACTTTAATGATTAGCCTTTTAACTAATGTTTTCCATAATTTTATTTTACATTTATATGTAATTACCGCTTCCATACAGTCTTCAGGTATGGTTTAACTTTGTTGATTTCATTTTCCTGAGCATATGAAACTGGCTTAACAATAGCAGTGTTGAAGAAGACAATTTGGTGAGATACGCTGACAATAGAAGATTTTGTTACCAGTTGTGGTATTTAACTCCAAATGAATTGTTAGAAATACAGAAATATATGTATTTTAGCAACAACTGGCACAGATAGATGCATCCTGAAAATAATGGTGCAAATAGGTGGCTTTCAGCATTCCTGGATGCCAACTTTAATTTAATTGAATGTGCAACATATTTATGAAGGAATATTGACTATAATTCTGAATTTGCCACGTGTATCTAAATGTGATAAGGTGTTACTAAAATGTACACGTCTGTTGTGAACAAAAAATCAGATGTGTTATCAAAGTTTTTGTACTCAAGATATGTCTGTGAATTGTTGGCATCAGTCTGACTCAGACTCTGCAAGTCAAAAAGCAAGGTGATGTTCATATAAAGAATAAACATACTGTTGTCCATCGTACAGTTTGCATAACCTCTATAACCTCTGAAATTCATGTGTATAGCTTTTTTGGTATCTCTGTATATTGTATGTGGTATTTACTCTCCACTACCAGAAACTTTGCTAAACGAGTATTGTGGGATATAATAAACATTCTTGATAACTCTGACATCAAATACGTGATGCCATGTTGAATAGCACTCTGCAAAAGGTTGTGATATGTGCTCCATTTTGACCTCTCCTATGTACATATGGTTAACTGACATTGGTTGGGTAAAGAGAAAACCCTTCTTTTCTAGCATATTGATATTGGCTTTAGAGTAAGCTAAGAATGGTTAGAACAGAATTGTGCACACAGCTTGTAGTTTATTTTATGATTATTTATGCAAATTATGGATTGGAAATTAGCACAGATTTAGTTATGGAGAAATCAATGTTCTATTGTGATGTATAATTTTGAAGGAAAATCCTAGTTGTAACATGTTTTTGTATGATTGGTGAAGTTTGAGTTACATTTGAATGTTTGTCAGTAGTGTGATTAATTGTCATATAATCTAAGGATAAAGATTACTGGAACAGTTAACCACAAGTTAATGCAACATCAAGTAAATGGTTAAATTAGTTAACAAGCTCAAATTGGATCAAATTAATTATCAAATGACAGAGAAGAGTTGATTTTTAATACTTATGTACCTCACTTTTTTTATGTAATTAGACATATCACTCCTCTTTATTTGCAATATTAACCTTATTGTGTTCATCTGAAGTTGCTTTCTTACATTTTTCATTTACCCCATTTCATACATTTCCACCAATTCTTCACAGAATATTTCATTCTCTAAGTTTCTGATCTGTGAATTTTTTTCAGTCTTTGATGTGAACATTTGTTAATTGCTTAACTTATATTTCATTCAGTCTGAGTGTTTAGATATTCCTTTTCCAGATTTGTGACCTTTCCCTCACTCAAAAAAAATTTTTGTAAATTTTTACATTATCACTAAAGGCTCAGATATTACTTCATAGGGTTTTATTGTTTTCTTATTTTTGTAGATTTTAATGTTTCTTTTACAGGCTGTTCATCTTTTCTTTAGTCTGAGAGTTTGGATATTTTTTGTTATGTAATCTTCTGTCATTATGCTGACTTAGATATTTCATGCCTTCTGATTTCATTATCAGTTTAATAATTGAAATGTTTGTCTGTACTATTGATCCTTAAAATCCTGCATTTGATATTTACATATAAGAATTTAAGTATTTTTTGTGTGAACATTTTATCTTTTTTTAGCCTAAGGGTGTATGCATTTATGTTTGTGCAGACTTTTAATTTTTTTTCTGTGTTTTCAGGATTGAGATATTTTTACTTGCTTTGAGATATTTTTTCCAGTTATATGGCTTCTTTCCCTCTGGTTTATAGTCTTAAATATTTTGTTCCAGACCATTGATTTATGTTTTGTGATTGTATTTATGTTTTATGACTTAATAAGTTAAAGATTGCATTAGACTTTCTTGTGGTTTCTAAAATAAACTTAAACAATAATTTTTTTTTTGGTGTGGAATATTCCTAAATACTCCATTATTTTTTTGCCATTTTAGTGTTTGCCATTTATCCTTACTTTCACTTTGTGAAAACTTACACCTGATTTTTGTTCTTTTATAAAGAGTTTATGCATATCTTCTCCACACTTTTGATCTTTTTATCTGTTGAAGGGCTCAAACATTTCTTCTCCATACCTCTGAGGGTTTTATCTTTTGGTTCTGGGATGAAGCAGATTGAATATTTTATGGTGTAAATCTTTGATTTTTATATCCGTCTGACAATTTTTTTTACTTCAAAGGTCTCATTTTTCATTTTGTAATGATGATTTTTTTTTTTACATATTAGGATTTTTGATTTAAAAGAAAATGGCCAAGGAATAACTTCATTAAATAATAGTTTTGAACTCTCGATGAACAATGGGAAGAGAAGAAAACAAGGGTTAAAACTAGGTACAGCTAGACTGCGTGAGGCTAAGAAGACATTCTCTTCAGACTTTGTAATGTCTTGCGAGGTGAGTGGTAAAAACATTCCATTGATACTGTGGTTTGATTTGTGATTGTAAGTAGTACAAATATAACATTTTAAAAACATTTGTAAAACAAATGATAAAAAGATGATGTTCACTTCAAATCAAATTTTTGATGCAAGCAGTAAAAAAGTCAGTGCTGATGATAGTTTTACTGACACCGTATTAAGTTGCCTATGTTGTCTGTCGTTAGCAAAGGGCTTGAAAGAAAAAACATTTACCTTAGCCTGTGTTGGTTTGTTATGAAAGTAGAAAAGACAACAAATTGTAGCTATGTGTGACAAAGAAAAGTTTTCTTCAGTTTTTGTAATACCCTGTGAAATAAATGATAAAATAGTGAGGTATTCAGAAACTGTGATATAATAGGTAAAAAATTACTTGAGAGTTTATTATTGTTTGTAAAATAAACAGTAAATTAAAACATTCTTCTTGGATTTTGAGCTGGTTTTTATCAAAAGCTTTAAAATATAATGATCTAGGGCTATACAAAAATCTGTGATATAAAAACAAAAGCGGTAAAGAGCCTTTGCATTTTGGGATTGTTTGTGATGCAAGCACCAAAAGATAACTTCAATTTTAATACATTATCATATATATGGATAAAACAGGTACATATTGTTTCTTTGTGCTACTGGTCTAAGCCTTATTCTCCCGTTGCTTCCTTACATCACATCCTAATGTATAATTGTCTTTGATCTCAAACATTCAAAAGATCTATGTGTATTATCTACCACCAATAGGAATAATACTTGTATTTAATTATACCTTGAAAGACATCTTACTCTTTGTTGGTTTGCTAGAAACGTTATTTTGACAGTACTTCTGACTTCTCAGCTTTCACTTATGCTTTTGCCTCGATGTTATATCAAGTACTTTTCACTTAAAAATTATTTCAGTTTACTCAGCTGCCTCACATGATGCTCTCTTACACTAATACTGTGGTGAACCAAATGTTGTCTCACTTCTTGGAGTAGATTCTCTTGCTGGAGATATCTCCTATTTGACCAGTTTCTTCAGCATGCTTTTTTCTTTTTACTTTCCAGCTGTTCACAGAAAGAGTTTTGTGGCTTTTTTTTTATCAGTTTTGGTGTTCTATGGTTATATATATCTTTTTCCTTGTGAAATAGTAATAGCCTACAGTTGAAAAAAAATAGTAATTTCTGTTATTCTTTACTCTGTTTCCTTTGGTTCTCTAATTTAGGATTCCTTCATTCAGGGATGGAGTAGTTTTTATTTTAGAAGAGTTTCCCTTTCTTGTTCTCAGTTTTTACATATTCATCTAGTCATTACACATTTATCTTCCCTAAAAAATCTTAACCAAGGGTACTTTTTATTATTTTGATGCTTTTTTCAGATACTCAAACTTTATTTTTTGTTTGTTTTCTTCATCAGCTGCTTAACCCACTAGTTTGTTTTTGGGCTTTTTTCTTATACACTGTTATCCAAGGACATATGCATCTTCTTGAAGTACAGTTCTAGGAACTATTCACTATTTATTTATCTTACTTCATGAGTTTTTTTTTTATATTTCAACTTAACTGGTAAGCCATATTTGCATCTAATGCTTCACTGGCAGCTTATAATTTTTCACATTTAGTGCATTAACTTTCTTTCACATAGGGGACTTTCATAGTGCATTAACTTTCTTTCACATAGGGGACTTTCATAGTGCATTAACTTTCTTTCACATAGGGGACTTTCATAGTGCATTAACTTTCTTTCACATAGGAGATTTTCATTTTCAGATTGTTGGTCTTCTCTTCACCCATTCTCTGTTTCTTCAGAGCATTTGTTCACAGACAGTGTGCAACTTCATGTAAGTTATTTCTCCTCTTTTTTTTTAATGACTTTTCTCATTGAGCTCCTGCCCTGTCTTAAGAATGTGTTCTTAGGTGGGATGGTGTAATACCTTACACCTCTGATGGTCCCTTTACTTTTTATTCTTGGATTCACTAAGTATAAGCTCTGACTTTTGATTCTCTCAGTGGAGAATGTATGAAAATCAAGGGAAGTGGGGTTACTATACAAAAAGTCAACATTTTGACTAAACTACGTATGTTATAACTAAACCAAGTTAAATCTATATTTACTTATATAATTCACACCTCTCATAATAAACTACATGTGATACATGCATTAGTATTTTTTTTAACTCAGGTGATAAAACACTGTCTTGAGTATCAAAATGCTATGGTAGTAAAGCACTAAGCTTTATATCTGGCATTCCATTTTCTCATGACTCTGCTTCTTTAAATCTTGTGATTTGCTGAATGGGTTTTCTTCACACAAGTTGGGATAAAGAGTACACTTAAGCTATAAATGTACTCAGTGAGTCAGTACCTGTGATGAGAATTGTGAGTATGAAAAGATTCAGTGTGTGTTTTAGAGATGTTTTGCTGTAATCTTTGTTTTTTCTTTCAAAAAAGTGGTGATACGTTTTTTTCTACTGAACAGAGTTTACATAACATACTTTGACCATCTTATTACATCATTCATGTAAGTCTTCTTTTCAGAAACATTCTCACCTCAAACCTCTGTCCAATTGTCTCATTAGCTTGGGAAGCCAGATTTAAACTGGTTCTTTTCTCATATTGTCCAACTACATGTTTAACCTTGCTTGTTTTGCCATCAAATACTTTATTCCTTGGATTGAGATTTACAATGGACATTGGGAAACCAATGCGGAATATTTGTGGTTGGATTGTATTGTTCCGTATCTCTACCTTCTTCCTTTTACAGAGTAATTGTTAGAGTGATATTTGATATTATATTTGATGTTTCGTTGACTTTGCAAATTCATGCATTAATCTATGATTTTAAGAACTAACTAGGATATGAACTTGTACCTCATGTATGATGTATGACTAAAATTATTTGATGACTGAAACATTGTTTAGCAAAAAAAAATTAATAAAAATGGACATGGACAGTATTGAATTTTCGACTTCACACATATAAAGTATGTGCTGTGCCATATGAACCATAGCCCAAAGGGTATGTTTTAAATAGATAAATCCTTTAAATAATGCTGCTGTTATGTTATGTAGTTGGACATGAATGAAACTAGAATCTTCTAAGTTGTTGTATTTAGATTTAAAATAAATAAGTGTAAAAACAAAAATGACCATACATGAAGTATATCTGTACACAGCATTTTTTATATAAACACCTTGCCTTTCTGGATAATCCCCATCTTTAGGTAAGATCTTGAGAATTTTCTTGATTGAACTGTTGATAAAGCATTATTATAAAATAGTGAATTTTAACATTATGCTACCAAGATGTATAAAACTCAACTATCATTGTGTGTGTGTTTTTTGTAAATTTCATGTCTGTATGTGTGTATTTCAATCTGACTTGTATATCATCTGAAATCTGTAATTATGTTTTTTGTGCAGTATGTTAGCTGTAGAGCATCAAACATGAATGAAGTTGTGGTAGTGACTAGTAAGGCTAATTGCCGAAAATTTGTAGTGAGTAAGCTCGTCCTGCAAGCAGGAAATGTATTTAAACTTAGGATTAATTATTGATTTTTTAAGAAATGTAATGGTATTGAGTTATTTATGAGCCACGACGAAAGAAAAAATTAAGTTAATGTGTTTCCATGCATGTTTGTTTATGTTATTGAATTAATTGTCTTTAAAGTTAATGTTATAAATGTCATAGTTTTGTACTTGTATATAACAATGCATGTTAAATGTCATTCACCCACATAAACATAAGTACTACTGTTCAGTTATCCAGTTGGCATATTGGGTTTTCATGTGAGCTAGCACATACACACACACACATATACAGACTGACTGACACACACATTGCTCTTTTGATTATGTGGATGATTTAAAGTATAGAAGAAAGTATAACAATATGTCAACCATACTATACTGTACCTGCTGTATCCAGTACCAACATTTTTGCTACTGTCCTGAAGTTAAAGTTCCTGTTATGTGGTCACTAGTTGTGAAACCCATTGGCCATGGAAGAAGATTCTTTCACTGTTCTCAGCTCTTCTGCAAATATATCCTCATGTCTGTTTCTTATTAGAATTTGGGAGTTTTCATGTCCAGTTTTGCTGATCACCTGATTTTGGCCTGCTTAATCCTACTGTCATCTTACTCATTGGTTATCAGTGAGAAAACAAAGTCTACTGTCTTGTAAGCTCTTTATGAATCAACTTTGAATTTTTGTTTCATTGTGACATTCATGTTCACTCTCAGTTGTTGTTTGGTTCTTTGCTTTTTGAGTATGTTTTTCCAGACTAGTTACTCATACTCTTACTTGCTCCACTGTTGTTATTTATCAGTCATTGTGATTTTTTTTTCATTGTTAAAGAAGGTATGTTTCTGTATATATTCTTTCTCCTCCTTCACTGGTGGGTAACTTTATTGTTCTTCATTTTTCTACTTTTTATAGTTTTGCTCTGTGTTTCTTTTATGCTTGTCATTTATTTTTCATCACCAATATTTTCTTTCCAACATTTTGGTTTGAGAATGTTTTTGTATTAGATTGTTTCTCTAGCCTTAAGAGCTCTGACAACTCATCACATTAAACTTTTAGTCTGTTCCTCCTGGATTTCATTTTTTTTGTTTTTTATCTTTTAGTGTCAAAAAACTTGCATGTACTTTTCCCAGATTCATTATATTTGTATACTACTGTTGTTCCTTTCTTCCCAATATTTATTTGAGGTAGGATTGTGATTGGGTAACTTCTATAATCTTCTTAATTTCCTCCTGTGTTTGGTTTGAATGTGGACAGGCTTCTATTCCATGTCAGTGTTATTCTTATCTGTTTGTGAAGATCTGCATTGTAGGTACTCGTTCACCTCTTGTCAGATCTGTCATCTGATCAAGTTCCCTGTGCTTTTTGAATATCTACCTTTAGAGAATATGGTACAGAATACTATTCTGATTTCTCTATCCATCTTTCTAAAGACAACACATTTCTCTTTCTTATAGTTTTGGGTCAGACTGCCTCTTGTTGATCTACACTCTTCCTGGAACTTTTAAATTCATTGTAAATTTCCTGTCCACTTTACAATTACTTCTCCACTGGTTTATTTCGTGGTAATCAGGCTTCACTGACAGAACCACTTTTTTCCCTTGCAGATCTGGACCTTGTGTTCTGGTAGAAAGTTCTTTCATGCAATATTTACATTTGTCACTCTTCTGTTTTTTTCATAGCTACCCTCCATTGTACATCTTTGGGCCTGAATTAGGTTCATTGTAGTATGCATCATTAAGAGTTCATTGAACTAGCCTACAAGTTATTGTGGTGGATTAGCATGCAGTTATAGCATATTGTTTTTGTGCTTTTATTTGTTACTTTGTTGTTTACCTTTTTTCTATTGAGTATCAATAGTTCTCCATCTCTTTCAGAAATCTAAGATACCTAGAGGTTTATAAAAGGTCAGAGTAGGTTTTACACATTGCCTTTGACTATCATTAGACTATGAGGCAGTTAGTAGTATTCCTAATAAAATGTTCTCCTCCTCTCCAAATCCAGTCTGTCTTGCTAAGAATATAGTCTCAAATACAAACAGTATAAAAGATATACTTCTGAGCATGCTTAAAAAATTATACACTTCTTATTCAGTGAGAGGAATGTTGTAGACCTAATTTAAGTTTGAGAATGAAAACTTATGATAATACTCCTAGACATGATGTAGGAAGAGAGTGGAGAGTATGCTTAGATTGACATCAAAGTAATAACTAACAATCAGTTTACCTAGAGGTAAATTTTAATTTGAAAACTAAAGATATTCAAATGTTTGATTGTTATGCAGATCAAAAGTATTTGCTTCTGATGCAACTTCTTTGGTTATTTGTGTAGGGAAGTACATTACACTAGGAAATTTGTATATATGTAAGACATGATTTGTAAGCATAATGAAAAAACTTGATACATACTAATTTAACACGTTTCCACAGAGCATTGATCTGTCTTCTTCATGTATGATACTAATCCAAACAAAGAGATTTATATACAGAGTAAAATGTCTCTATGGGCTATGAATAATGGGATTTAACAATGAGATGTTATAATGTGATGACAAAATATTGTGACAGAGTTATCTAAAGGAAGATCGGGGGGGGGGGGGCTAAGTGAATAAATTTTGCCATATTTTGTAAATGTTACATGGCCCATTGTCTTGGTTTAAAGATAAAACACCTATTTTCATAATTTCAATGCTTTTAAGAATATTTCTCTCTCTCTATTTTATGTTTTGGTTGGTGTAAGAGGGAAATTTTTTCCCAAATAATGCTATGACTGGTTTTAAATTGATGACATATTGCTTTGGTATGTATTAAATTTTTTCATTATGCTTACAAATCATTGTGTCTTATATATACAACTTTGGTTGAGAAAACTCCATGTTTTACTAATGGCCAACAATAGATTACAAAGGAAAACATTTTCACATCATTAGAAAACATTTGAATCACAACTGTACTGAAATGTCTTTTTGAAAGTTTAAGGGCTTTTCCTCTGTAATCTGTTGTTGTGAGTACACTCAAAGGCATACTGAAAAATGTGAGTGGATTTTACATAACAATATTGTTTAGTTAATCCTGTTCATATGGGTGGGGGTCACAACCCTTTACAGAGTTACATTCCAAATCTAGTTAAACAGCTTTATTATCAATGTATTTCAATAAACTTGTTGTCAAAACTTAGTTTATATATCAAATTTTAATGTTATCCAAGTTTTTATTTTTAATTTAAAAAAAATGTCAACTAAATTCTCAATCTTCACTTCTCTGTATCACAAGAAACTTCTTTGCTCTGAATTGCTCAGAGCTTCTGAGTTTAATATGAAATATACATTTATATTATAGATATTACTAAGACATAATCGTAATTGATAACCTCCAGTTTTCTTGTTTTCTTGGATATAAATCAGAAAGTCAAACTCGCATGTCATGCTCTCCTATCACATACTATCTTTCAAAAAAATGTCAGGAAATCTCTCTCTCATAAATTTGCTACTAGATTATTTATAACCAATAGAAAGAGAAGAATACAACTCGCTGATTTCTGGATAAGGCTTGCTTGTTCAAATGATAATTTTAGAATTATTCTGATTACTGTTTTATTGTTGCTTTCACTGAGATCAACTCAGCTAGTTAAGGAATTATTCTGTTGCACTTATAGCTTGGTTAGAGGGCCAGTTCAGTTATAATATTCATAGGACATTATATTCTTTGAGCATGTTGTTATTTTGTGTTCTAAATTGCATATTTGAAATAACTATAAAGTACTAACCACAATTATGCCAAAAATTAGGGTTAATTTTTATCAAGACTTTTTGAATACAAAAACGTTTAAGGGCTTACACAGCTAAGAACTGGATTCTGATACTTGTGGTGGGCATAGCACAGCTGATCCATTGTGCATAATAACAAAACAACACACATAGGTGCTAAATTTCTTGTCTTTTATGCATATTTTATATATATTACAGATATAAATATTTGAAACTTATTAGGTTAGACAAGAAAACATAAATGAAAAAGAATTAAATAGATTTTTCTCAAGATATGCATGTGAGCTGCATGTTTGTTATTAAGTCAATACTTAATATGCAGGTTTAGTAGTTAGACAAACTTCAAAGAGCAAGAAAACAATAAAATTAAATGAAAACAGATGTAAACTGTTACCAGCCTGAGACTATTTAGGATAAATAATTGAAATTTTCTTTAACAGTCTGCAGTAAGTTATAGAAAGAAAAAAGGGTAATTTAGATTTATTTTGTATTTCTGTGGTGGTTGCAATGGTGGTAGGTTAGAGAAGGTAACAGACAAAAATATAGATTTCTAAAAAAAACTCTTGATATTCATTTAAGAGGTTATGGAAGTTATGCAAATAAATTATAAAAACTGTAATAAGATGAAAAAAGTATTTTTCTTTTTAACATGAAAATTTTCTTGCACTCGGACTATTCAGAGTCTAAGTCAGATTGACTAAGTTAATTTCACAGACGAATTTTTAGTAGAAATACTTTACTAAAAATTCTGATATACAAGTTACCTGTAATGTTTACAAAGAGTTTTAACAAGTTACAGTACTTATTAGTAAACATTAATTCTCCAATATAGACTTGGTCCAGTGGACCGACCCTGTACATAACACTTAATAGTGTGTATGAAAAGCTGTTTAATCTGAATCTTCAAAGTTTAGAATTGTGTATATAATTTCTATCTTTGTGTTAAAATGTGCTTGTTGCTGTACTAGTTTTGTTGTTGAAAATTTTATAAATACTAGAGAATGTGATTTTTTGTATAAAAATTTTTTAAATACTGTTTTATGAGCATGAATTTGTTTATTTCTTTAAACATTAATGTTTTTTATCTAAATCATTTCAGAAAAGCATTTTGAGTGATGACTATGAGAATGAATTGGATATCTACTCATTGTTAGGGTTTGATCCAGAGGATGAAAGCTGTCATGGAAAAATCAACATTCATGACAACGAAACAGGACAGTTAATCAAATCTGTGGATCTTAAAATGAAAATGGATGAGGTAGTTAGAGAAAAAAACATTTGCTTGACATTTTAGTATCCTTAGGCTTAACTAAGATTGATTATTCAGTTAAGCCTGATGATGGCTTAGTATTTTCAGTTTTTCACAGCAAAACAATTTGTATTTAAAGTTTACAACAAACCAAGTAAAATGCAAGTACAAATGTGATGTATGTGCTAGAGAGAGATGCGATGTTATTCTATTAAGAGTTCTTCAAAGTTGCTACAGATTTGGAAACAGTATTATGTACCAGTAACAACAGTGCCTTTCTTCTCGGGGTGTTTTGCCAGTATAAAAAAATCATGGTCACTTTCTATGTAAGATGTATTATGTTACAACAATCTTTCCTACCAAAGAGTACCCATGACACTTGTTGACTGACCTAGATCCATGAATAAGTAGGGTGAGAAGAATTTAGTGGTTCCCTTGACCAGCTTTCTATATTAAGACCAAAATTCTCAATAAGAAATGTTATAAGCTTTTTTATATCTATCAGCTAAAGGGGTAGAAAATGTAAGGTATGCTTTCATAATACAATGATACCAGTACAGGCATCGATATAAATGTTGCAAGAAAAGTTAATTGTATCCATAAGTAACCCTATTTAAGTGTAGTTTCAAACTGATTATTTAGGGTAGCTTGTTAAAAGGGCTTTTGGTTGAATTTCAGAAATAATTTGTTAGAAGGACTGTGGGTTTTGATATTATAATTTGTTGGTTAATAGGACTGTACATGTAGGTTTATTCGTTAAGATAGAGGAGTTGTTCATTGGTTTTCTCATTTATTAGAACCTTTACTGGTAATTGGGTTCACCCACCTTTTCCATTAATAATGTCTTGGAAACAGCTTGGTATAGATTCCATAAGTTACCATTAGTTGTCTTTCAGTCACAGTCTATTCATCACAGTTCGGCAGATCCAAGAGAAATGGCAGGAGCAACACCGTGACTTATACATGACTTTCCTGGACGTGACGAAAGCTTTCGACACGGTATGTAGAGAAGGACTTTGGCGCATATTGCACAAGTTCAGTTGTCCCACGAAGTTTGTCGCTGTAGTTCGTCAGTTCCATGAAGGTATGATGGCAAGAGTGCTCGGTGACGGAGAAGAATCCATAGAGTTTCCTGTGTTCGGTGGCGTCAAGCAGGGTTGCGTGTTGGCACCAACACTGTTTAGTATGTATTTATCAGCATTGCTGTAAGAAGCCTTCAGGGATGGTCCGAGCGG